GACACATGACTTTAATTCCAGCACTCGGGAATCAGAGGAAGGCAGATCTACATGAGTTCAAGGCTAGCCTGGTATACAAATACTAGTTCCAGTACAGTTTCCAAAGCTACAGAGAAACCCTATCTAGAAAAGTCAACAAAAAAATAACAAATTGGCTCAATATTGACCAGACATCAGTAATTCTTATAATATCTAATTCAGTCAGCCTCTGTCATGAGACATAGATTATACCATGCAGTAAACACCAAAGGACATTTTACTGCATTCCTACCTACTTGTGAAAATGATTCATTACTTTTCACTGATATATTATCAGTCTTATGGCTTTTCTCTTCTTATAGATAAAAAATTCAATAGGTCAATAGGATTTTAAATTAAGCAAAAGTTTGTAATATTCAAAAATACAAAATCCCTCTAGTCACTCTTTCTCCTCAAGTGACCCATTACCACATTTTTCCTTTGGCTCTGGCCAAATTCCTGTGGTCCTTGGAAACAATTCCCATAGGCAAATGTACACAGAGTGGCAATCCCAAAATTCTATGGCAACACTGCAGTGCCTTTCACATGCTGCTAATTAGCCACCTTTCCCTCAGTGGAGGTACTACACTTGACTTTTTATGCTAAGCAATAGAACAAGGTAGGGCTCAGCGGGCTTGTGTTATCAAACTTGTGATCTTCCCAACACTGATTCAGGTAGGTTAGACAGATGAAAGTTGTTTTTTTGTTATTTTCTATAGTTAGCTCACAAGATTCTGAGGTTTATATTGACAGGTGTGTGTGTGTGTGTGTGTGTTACACTTTGCTTGTTCTGACCTACCTATGCAGCACTTCCTTGTACATCTGTCTATCCCACTGATAGAAACCATCTTTGAGGAAAATCCAAATTTCCGTGAAAACACATTAACTGACAAAAAAATCTAATCAATCAGAAGAAATAAGTTCAATGTGGAAACTGCAACATATCACCCATCAATTGAAGTATACAAATCAGAGGAATGAAGAACGTCATGAAATGTTCAGCACGGTAAAGGTTCCTCCAGTGGCATTTTCATGGAAGTCTTACATGTGCATCCCAAAAAGAGAAATAAAATAAGAATTAAAGTATAGCCAGATGGAAAAAATATCAATAATTTTGTAAAACAGTAAAGAAGCTTGGTTCATATATATATATATATATATATATATATATATATATATATATATGTTGAGGGACTGAAATTTAACTGTAAATAAAATATTTATAGATACACAGGCTGTTAAGACACATGCTCATATTGATTTATCAATATGGGATGATTGGCAAATAATTGATTAAACTTTGACTATTCCTATATGGTAAAAAAAAACCTTAAAACCCTTCTCTTCTTAAAATTTTATCCAAGTGAGGTATTGTGATTCCTTGAACCACAGACAGGACACAAAGTATAGGATGATCCACAGAAAAATAAGTGGGTAGAATGAAATAATAAATAAATCTGCACTGATGAGACCAAGAGTTAAACATACTTATTCAGATTTTCCAACAGTTTGTTCTATGGCTTAAGCAGAGTCCTCGCCCTTCCTGGACCTTTGTTATCTTAATATAGAATAAAAAGAATGTCACAGACACATAGCAAAGTTTCACTGAGTGACAGTAGCCTTCCAGTCTGTCCAGGCAGCACTGAGGACTCATGTGGAAGCATACAGGTGTAATGGCCTATCTACACAGCTTCTAGGACACTGAGCAATGTCCTGACCTCTCTCTGTACATCTCAGGAAAAAGAAAGATTGGAGAAGCTTGTGATGATCATATTGAACTCTATTGAGGAAATTTTTTCAGCACTACCCAGAAACTTCTAATTTATTCGACATTTTTTAATAATTGAGAAGAAAAAGTAAACAGCCAGTCTCTTCCTGAGCGGTTTCAAATGTTGATTTGTGATTTTAACAAAAACTCTAACATTATCAGCCTGCTCCATCGGTGCTAATTTCACATGATTTAAAGTCCATTGCCTGTTTATGTTGGATAAGCTGCCCTGACCACAGAAGGGAATGCACTGCTCCATAGAGGACTCTAAGGCTTGTCCTTCTGTTACACTTCACACCTAGCAGTGGAAGTGTGAGCACAGACTCTTGCAATAAGATGAACACAGGTCTGCGATTTAGGAAACTGCAAAGACAATGGGACTGAGGACGGAATCCTCATGAATAAACTTTATTCAGTTATCTATATGGTTTCAATCTGTTTCCACTGAAGTATTAGTTTAAACTACTTTCCTGCCCATTTTTAAATGAAGATATATTTTTCTCTCAGACAATACAACCTGTCACAGTTTCCCCTCTCTCCACTGCTCCCTGCTCCCTCACCTCTCTTTTTCCACAGGTCCTTTCCACAAGATCCCTTCTGCCTTTGGTTCCCTGCAGTAAGGAGTAGGCCTCCAAGGCACACCAACCAAACATGACAAAACAAGGTACAATAAGGCAAGGTGAAAGCCCTCAAATGGAGACTAGACAAGGCAACCCAGTGAAAGAAAAGAGTCCTAAGAGCAGGCAGAGATACACGCTCAGTGTTAAAAGTCCAACAAAACTCCTTAACATATGGAGAGAACCTGGTGAGGAACCATGCAAATACCATGCTTCCCACTTCAGTCTCTCTGAGGCCATGTGCACCCACTTAGTTGATTCAGTGGGTCAGGCTCTCCTTACGTCCTCCAGCCTCTCTGATTCCTACAGTCTTTCTTCCCTTCCCCAACTGCAGAGGGGAAGGACCTGATGGAGGCCCTCAATTTGGACTCTTTCTCCTGCACTATGTCTGCTATGGTTGTGCGCTCACTCTCGTCTTCTACCAGAAAAAGCCTCTCTAAGAATGACTGCACAAGGCATCAATCTATGAATATAGAAGAAAACTATTAGTAATCATTTTTGCTGATATTTTTTCACCATTTGTTTTTGGTTCCACCCTAGGTCTCTAAGCTATCCAGTCTCTGGTTCTTAACCATCCCACACAATATAAGGTATGGACTTCCTCTCATAGCATTGACATCAGATATTGGTTGGCTGTTCTCACTAGTTCAGTGCCACCATTGCCCCAGCACACCTTGCAAGCAGGACAGATTTTAGGTTGAAGACTTTGTGGCTGAATTGGTGTCCATGTTTCTTTTTCAGTAGACTTCAGATTACCTTCCCTCATCAAAGAGACTAGAACATATGGGTGAAGGCTCTATACAGGCAGAAGCTCAAACTCTCTACATTCTATGAGTTTGTGGGTGATGACCTCTCAATGGTGCCCATTGTCAATTTTAGGAGAGTAACCCCTGTCCTAGCAACAGCTTCAGTCCCAGTTCTGCCCTCCTTTAAAGCATAGTCATTCTAAGAAACAAGTAGCAAGTATGACACGTGGGGAACTGAGATTTAAGTAGAGGCAGAACATTGACTAGATGGACAGTCCACCAACATTGCCCACTGCTTATCTGAGTTTTCTAAGCTACGGTAACTTACTCACTTTAAACTGTTGCTAACTTGAAAGTCTAAAATTTACAATATTCTAAGATGAGTTATTTATCTAGGTCCTATGTCGCATTGAATTTAATTTAAAAATCTGGAAATCAGGGGTGGACATTGTTGATGGACTGTTGAGCTGGTTAATGCTCTGCCTCTAATTAGACTGAAGTCATTTTCAAGACATTGAGCTTGAAAACAGTGCTTTAGTCAAAATAACAAAAAAAAAGTTCTTTTGTTGTCTACCTGAAATACATAGTCACATGAAATATGTATGAATATACTCAATAATATTCAATCATAGAGATAGGAGTGATTAAGCAAAGCAAACACCTATGTAAAAACTTAGAAGGGGGTTGAACCTAACCACTTGACTTTTTTGCAATCAGATGTGAGAATGCTTGTGTCTCCACCCACCACCAAATCTTGAACTTTGTCAAATATTTAAACTCCTGTCTAATTAATAAGAAAAAGCTATTATGTTGATATTTTTGACATGCATTTAATTTAATTGTGGATGAACTTAAGACTCTTTACCTGCAAGGAGACATGTCCTCACCACATCATCTGACATGTTTGTTCTCATTTCTTCTATGTGGAGGATGCATGACACATTGCCCTCATTCTGGTTGCCTCTTTCACATGTATTTTTCATGTTTTTCTCTACTGGGCATCAGACAGAATCTGCTCCAGAGTATTCATGACTTTTTTAATTTCTCCAAATCATATAGTAAGTGTCTTAAACCTGCATCCTCTGCCCCATTTGTCACCTTGTCATCACAATATAGAAAAAAGAGAAATGTTCATCTCCAGTTCTGAAATATGTACATAGGCATTTAATGTAATCATATATTTAATATTAATATATATTAAGGAATATCCAAATCATGAATACTACCATCACTTAACAATTTCTTCACATTTAATATTCCAAAAACTTTTAGCTCAGAGTCATCTCAAAGATATGCTTACAAAATTATATTTTTAAAATTTAATGAATATGTTATCCAAGTAAATGAAAGAGTTAATTATTTTAGTGTATTTTTAACAATGATCTATATAAGGAATATTAATTGCACTTATTTGACCTGGAGGAAGCATGACTTTTTTTTATATTTTGAAATTATAATTACTTCACTTTCCTCTGTCTGATTCCATGTATTTCCCCCTTGCTTTGTTTCAAACTCACGACTTTTCTTTCATTGTTTTTACATAAATATATTTATGTTCATAAATACATAAGTACAATCCACTAAGTCAGCATAATGTTACTTGTATGTATTGTACGTATATGATTTTAGGGCTGACCACTTGGTACTGGGTTAAAAACTGGGGAGTTCTTCCTTGGAGTAGACTATTTCTCCTGCTCTCAGAATTCTTCACTACACAAATAATTGCTTTTTTACCTAAAATATCTCCAAAGGCATGTTAGTCTTTAATGTGACTTTGTCAGTTGAGCACTGCTTGTCCTAAACCAGAGTGTCTCATTGCTCTCCTGTTTCAGATGACATGAAAGCTGTCACAGCCAGCAAAAGCAATGAGTGAAGCAAACCGCTCTGTGGTATCTGAGTTTGTCTTCCTGGGACTCTCTAACTCATGGACAACCCAGCTCTTCCTCTTCCTCTTTTCCTGTATGTTCTATTTGGCAAATTTGTTTGGAAATTTTCTCATTGTTCTAACTGTGACATCAGACTCCCATTTACAGTCCCCTATGTACTTCCTCTTAGCCAATCTTTCCTTTCTCGACTTGATATTTAGCTCCTCCACAGCACCAAAAATGATTTATGACCTTTTCAGAAGGCACAAAACCATCTCTTTTGGGGGCTGTATCACTCAGATCTTCCTAATCCATGCAGTTGGAGGCACGGAGATGGTGCTGCTCATAGCCATGGCTTTTGACCGCTATGTTGCCATATGTAAGCCTCTGCACTACTTGACTATCATGAGTCCACAAAAGTGCATTTTGGTTTTAGTTGCTTCTTGGATTATTGGCTTTATCCACTCAGTGACTCAGTTGATTTTTGTCATAGATTTACCCTTCTGTGGCCCTAATGAACTAGACAGCTTTTTCTGTGACCTCCCTCGGTTTATTAAACTGGCTTGTATAGACACATACACCTTGGGATTCATGGTTACTGCAAATAGTGGGTTCATTTCTGTGGCTTCCTTTTTAATTCTGATCATCTCTTACGTGTTTATTTTGGTGACAGTTCAAAAGAAATCTTTGGGTAGTTTGTCTAAGGCCCTTTCCACTCTGTCAGCTCATGTCATGGTGGTCATTTTGTTCTTTGGACCATTAATCTTCTTCTACATGTGGCCATTTCCAATATCACATCTGGATAAATTTCTTGCACTCTTTGATGCAGTTATTACTCCTTTTCTAAACCCAGTGATCTACACACTTAGGAATAAAGAGATGAAGGTGGCCATGAGAAGACTATGCAGTCAGTTTATTAATTACAGTAAAATTTCTTAAATACAATGAAGATATAAAAGTACACACGTTATACTAGAACTTCAGATGGATATTGCTGCATTGACTGTGTTATGTTTATCCAGAATGTTTTATGTACCAAAATTTGATATGTTTTCACTTGTTTTCCCCAAAAGTGAAATACCAACTAATAGATAGTTTCTGTAAGAGACTTGATGGGCTTAAAAAGATGGTTCAGTTGTTTAGATCAGTCATGTTTTTACATAGGACCAAGATTTGGTTCCCAGAACCCACATGAAGGGTCACAACTATCTGTAATTCCAGTATAAATAAATCAAATTGCCTCTTCTGGCCTATGATAGAGACCAACATGCATTAGCATACATTTATACTTGCAAACAAATCACTCATATACATAAAATAAAACTTTCTTAATAAAACATACATACTATAAAGTTAAAGTTTGTATATGTCAATCCTCACCAAAGATGCTGCATGGGTATAATGATGAATGCAATAATGATAAACTTGTAAAAGTCAATATATGATTTTTACCTATTCATCTTTCCGATCTTGAGATTGTTTTCAAATTTAATTCTTACTTGTAGTGTCTACTACAACTGATTTTTCTTACTATTCTGATAATTTATTTTCTACCTTTTCAACCTCTAATTTATTGATCATTTATTTACTAATCTGCTTCCTCAAAGACCAGTAAGACTGAAACTGCATCATTTTTTTTGAAAAGACAAACTTTAATATGAAGAACTGTTGACTCTATATAAAACTCCACTGAATGACTTTCACGGGATGAGTTTCCAGCAGTACAGACCAGACCAGAGAGGGCTCAGTGCTAAAAGAGCCTTTCATCTTCAAACTCCATTTCTAAACAGCTCAGTTTAAGAAAAACCAAACAAAAGCAAGGAAATGGAAAGGAAAAAATGGAGCAAATGAAATGAAACACATCGTCTTCCCAAATTTGCCTTTTCCTTTGAGTCATATTTTATTCAGAATTTTTCTCCTCATGAAGCTACCGTTCTCCATTTAGATCAACAGACCACTCATTCAACTTCAATGTGAGGTGCTACCCAAGTCTAGAATCACAAATAAAAACCAATTATGTCTCTAATAAAATCCAAAAACATTTAAGATGCTTTTGTTTGTAACAAGTGTTGAGCAAGTTATTTGAAAGAGACATAAATCTATGATCACAGAAGTAGCATTTTTAAAAAGCATACATAGAGATAGCAAAATAAATAAAGAGAAAATATCAGAATTATTAAAAACTTAAAATAAATAAGCAGAATGATTAAAAGCTTGGAAGAAAGCTGGGTAGTATTGGCACATGCCTTTAATCCCAGCACTCAGGAGGCAGAGGAAGGTATATCTCTGCGAGTTCAAGGCCAGCCTGGTCTACAAGAGCTAGTTCCAGGACAGGCTCCAAAGCTACGGAGAAACCCTGTTTCGTATAACTAAAAAAGAAAAAAGAAAGAAAGAAAGAAAGAAAGAAAGAAAGAAAGAAAGAAAGAAAGAAAGAAAGAATAAAAAGAAGAAGTTTGGAAGAAGGACAGGTGAATTGGGCAGTCTGGTGATGCCAGTGTGCCAGTTTAAAGAGCTACAGGGCAGGACACAACCCTGAGTAGGAGGTGCCATGTCCAGTACATGTCTATGAGGAAAGTTTGACTACTCCTTTGGGATGGAATTAAGAAAACTGAGGTGACATACAGTTGTAATAGAACAGAAATTCTCAAACTGTGAGTCGCAAACCCTACAGAGGTCACATATCAGATATTTCCATTACAATTCCTAACAGTAGCAAAACTACAGTTATGAAGTAGTAATGAAATAATTCTATGGTTGTAAGTCACAGTAACATAAGGAAGTGTCTTAAAGGGCCATACCATTAGGAAGGTTAAGAACCTCTTAATAGAGTCTACAAGGAGAAACTGCCAAAAAAGGAAAGTTGACAGATCCATCACCTGTTGTTGTCACAGAAAAAAAAAAAAGAAGAAAAGAAAGAAAGCTCCTTCAAGTAGGAAGATTCTGCAAACGGTGAAGTTTCTTAGAAAAATTATCTATTTTGACAGATTGCTGGTCCTTTCCTGCCATTTGTCATTCGAGATCACATTCCCTTAGTTGTCTGGTGTGCTTTCCAACTGCTTTTTCATTGATATGACCATGTATGTTATTCTCCTTGTGTTTCTCATGTTAATTGAATACTGAATTTCAACAAACGTTCATGTTGGTTTTTAACTCGGTTTTCACTGGTATTCAGCTAGATGTTTTTTCCTTTGCTCATTTTGTTTTTAAGCCTTCTTTGGAAATTGTTTCAGATTCATCAGCACTCAAAGTTGGCACAGAGTCTCCTTGTGACCTTTTACCCAAACTAAACTTAGATCCCCTGACATTAGCATTATTCATACTTTCCAGTCACTGAGACATCAACTTTATCCTAAACTCCACAGCTTATTCAGATTTCACTCATTTTGGATTTTTTTCATTAATATCTATTTTTAGTCCATGTTCAATTCTAAATACTCTCTCATACTTAGCATGTCTTCTGAGTTTCACCTGACAGTATTTAATCTGGCTCTTTTCATAACTGTGAATTTTTAGAACATTTGGACATTTCAAACTTTATTGAAATACTTGAGTTTCTCTAAATTTTTTCATCATAAGTAGACTTGGGTTCTGAATTTTGCAAGGAACACTGAGGAAAAAAACTACTTATTGAATAATATTTGAGTCAATAACAGCCATATGATATCATATTGATGCTGATCACACAAATTGAATTTGGCCTAACAAACTTAAAGGGGAGAGGTGACTTCTTAGATATTACATGTCATCTGAATTCTTTCTTCCTATTTAGATCATCAATATTTTCCCAACATGTCTATAAACTTGAAAATGCATTATAATTTCTAAATTTTGTCATTTGGATACTTTGAGTACAAGCAAAGGTTAATTTCAACTTCATCCCAATTTGATTGAACATTGAGGTAAATATATATATATAT